GTTGTTTTCTTGAAGTATCGTTGTCTCTGAATGAATTACAAAATGAGTTCTTCAGCGATCAGTGAACAAGCTCAGTGTATTGATCGCTGAAATCGAAAGTACAGAAACACAAAAATACATCGAAAGGAAAAAGGGATTATCATCAAATCACTGAGAGAGAGGATCAACATGGTCTATAAAGGTTGTGAAGATGGGTGGATCAAGCGAGTCATGCTAAATTATTCAGTGGTCGAGAATTGGGTTCATACCGGAGGTCGGCCTATTGGAATCGCAATTGATGATTTCGGTGATGTTTTTGTTGCCGACGCTTTTAAGGTCGGTTGGTTATTGGTGTTAAATTGAGGTCAGCTAATTAAATTGCCTTAAATCAGTTTTTAACTAGAAGAATAACCTTTTAAAAAGTTAACTCAACAATTTTCAAATGATTTATCCGTCAACAAGTCTTGTTCCATCCAACAATGGAATCACTTTCAAACGCATACAAATTTCTATTTCGCACGCATAGCACGACAAACCCATTTGCATTTACATCCTTCCCAACATCTATCTTCCCGTCATCACTTTGGTGATAAATTTCTTATTCATCTTAACTTCGTTTTACGTGTGTAACATATCATAACGAAGCTTATAATAACGACTATACAAACCCGTAAATATCTTTCTATTCCAATAATGAATTCACTTTTTTTCTTGGGTCCAAATTAGGCATAAACCCTAATTTTTCAAACAATAATTCAGTAAGTGTATGTTGCTACATACATGAAATAATTTATGTCCCTATGATTTGCTTGCAGGGTTTGTTGAACGTAAGTGTCGGTGGTGAGTTGGAGTTCTTGACAGATGAGGCCGAGGGCATGAAGTTTGGGTTAATTAATGGTATAGTTGTTGCAAAAAATGGTATGGTGTATTTTACAAAAAATCGTTTGCATCAATGGTTTCACGACTTTCTAGAGGGTAGACCTCATGGTCGATTACTAAGCTATGATCCATCAACGAAACAAACAAACATGATTTTCCGGGACCATTACTTTGCTAATGGGGTCGAACTCTCATCAAACCAAGACTTTGTTATCTTTTGTGAGACCTTTATGTATGATTATCATCTTAATCTCGTTTCCATTCAGTTGTATTATATACACGATGGCGTTTCAATAACTTTCAAATCAATTGAAAATATTGTAAATCAGTAATCAATGTGTGAGGGATTTTGACGTTTTTCCTTGACCATATTTATTAAGTTTGGCTTGTTATTGCAGGAGGAAGTGTTCGAGATATTATTTACAAGGAGAAAAGAAGGGATCAATCGATGTTTTTGTAGACAACTTACCCGGTGTACCTAACAACATAAGATATGATGGAGATGGGCACTACTGGCTGGTAATACCATGGGTAATCTGGTTCCAGCGTAATGAATATCCATCTCAAATTCTTATTTCATAAATAACATGTATAATTTTGTATGTGCGTGTAGGACAATTCATTTTCACTGAAATTTATTCAGATATATCCATTCATACGCAAGATTCTTGCATTTACGATTAAGTACCTACACAAAATGCCCGATTTCATGAACTATGGTCGAGGTATTGCTTTGGATTTGGAAGGAAAACCGATTGGGGGATATTATGATAACACTTGGATATATACAACATCAGGGGTCAAGATCGGGAAGCACTTGAACATGGGTTCCATCACAAGATCGTATATTTTACGCCTTAATCTTATTCAAAATCCTCTTGCTACTGCAACCTCGTGAATTACATTCGAGTTCTTTTGCTTTCTTGTATGTAGGCTATCAAACTCATTATACGAGCACTGTTCATGGTTTTATTTGGTATAGAATTAGTTCTAAATAGATTCAAACAAGTATTATAAGGTTTTTTATTATTATATTCGTATATCGAGTATTTGTATCCATAAATAATCATGCGTTTATTTGGTTTTATTGTAGTTTTTAATAACTAAATAGTTTATTTTGGTGAATTCTATTCATTATCTCCTATAGGGGCATGTGAGTGAGGTAAGGGTAAGAAATAAGTGGTATATGAGTGAAGTAAGGGTAAGAAATACGTGTTAACATTCAATTAAGATTTGATTCAAGGGTGTAGATCTTTTCTTACGTTTCTTATTGTAATTTTTTTTCTCACTGAAACCCAACCCTATAATCATCACATTACTATATTTGATCAAGTATACAACTATATTTAATTGTTTATATTTATTACTGTGAATACATAATAATTAACTAGTTGTGTACCGGCGCAATGCGGCGGGAGCCATAAATTTTAACGATTTTGAAGTTCCACTGATTTTATAAGATAAGATTTAACGTTGATATATGTTACACTTGGTCTTTACATATTAATACAATTTGAATAAATAAGAGTTATGGTTCCAATTACAGACTATCGATGAAAAATATTGTATGACAGTTTGAAATCCAATATATTTAAAATCCAACATATTTAAACGACTCTACAAATGTGTTTGATTTAAACCAAGAGCAAAGAACCAAGAAACTGGAGTTTTAAGATAAACACTCAAAACCAATAAAGAAAAATACAAATTTGACAGATCTTAAACCATGAAAAGACCAAAAAAGATGGGTTGTATAATGAAATTCCAACTGCTTACCCTCTTTCTTGTCCAGAAACTCAGATTAAGGTTGAATTAATATATGTATATATATATATATTTAAAAAAAAACTCAAGAACATATTAATTCAGAACATATTATACAGTGCAATTTGGACAGTCTAACCCCAAACTATAAAAGTATAAATCGTAAATATTAAAAATATTTTTTCATAGTATATATAATATATAATAATATAATTAAGTCAAAAACTATTCAATATTGGACTCATTTCGAAGGTATTAACGAGACGATTATAATGATGTAACTTGTTAAAATAAAAATGTATTTTAAACATGTTTTAATTGATATACGATTATGTATATTAATTTGATAAAGGTTTAAAATGAAATATTTAAAAGTAAAGGACGTAAAGTAAATTAATTAACTAATTATAGGGTTATAAAGTGTAAATTTAAAATTATAATTTAAAAAAAATCGGGTTGTGAGAGGGTGAGTGTATGTGAGGGGGTGAGTGTATGTGAGTAGAGGAGGGGGTGAAAAAGTGATATAAATGGTATATTGGTCATTTAGTATTTTAAGACTTTAAGACTTTTGTTAAATTTGTTTTATAAGATAATATAGATTAGTGTAATATTTGCTTAAGAAACCTAGAAAATATAGGGGGTATTTGGGATTGCTTATAAAAACAACTTATTGACTTATTCCGGACGGTAATAATCATTTTTGAGTGTTTGGATAAACAACTTATTCCGGTGTGGCAACGGTAATAAGCATTTTTGAGTGTTTGGATAAACAACTTATATCGGTGTAAAACCGGTAAAAAAGAGTTTTTGAAAAAGTTAAACCTTTCTAACTTATAATACGTTGATAAATGTTTTGTAGAAAAGCATAGGTTGTTTCAAATAAGCAATCTCAAATACCTCTATAATATCATATTTATCTAATTGAATTTAAAAAAAAATATGTTTTAATGTATATATTATTAATTTTTGGCAATTTAGAATATTTTAGATATAAAAAATGAGATATTTGTTTTTT